GTCGACTACGTGGGAGTCCAGCGACGTAGCCATTACGCTAACTGCTGGTTCCCCTGCTATGCCCTTTGATGGCCCCTCAAAATGCCATTTTTAAATTGACTCTTGTCTATAGCTCCAGAACTGGCCCAGGACCTGAAAGACCCTTTCAGATCCTCACTTCTCACCTGTGGAATAGGAATGATAGTGATACACATGTTTTGTATTTCTTCACATGATTTTAGAGTCGAGTAAGGGACTAGATCTTGAAAGCCCAAACATTAATGAGTAAGAATGGCCCTGTGGTGTTGCAGGCAATAGGGTGCCAGTACTTGATACTGGGGGCACACAGGAGGTCAAGGTTTGGATCTTGGATTGACCTGAATATGCCAGATGCACGTGTGCCTAAATCTTGGCCAGCAGGTGATGGGGGAAGTTCAGAGCATAACAAGAATCTTCTCAAGAAGATGCTGGTCTTTCAAGAAATACATAAACTTTAGGGGGAGAAAGAAACAAGGGGGCCAGTAGGTGGCATGGTGGTTAAGGCGTTAGACTCCCACATGGCCAGACACGTTTCTATCTCTGGCAAGCTCATATGCCCTATGGCAAAAATTGCTCTAAAAAAAAATATTTGGGACCAGCAGGTGGCATGGTGGCTGAGGCGCTGGACACTCCCACATGGCTGACCATGGTTCAAGTTCTGGACCAGTGGCTTGCTTTCTCACTCTTTCTTTCTCTCATTCTCTCTGACTGATCAAATTGGAAAATTATAATAATAAAGTTAAATAAAATAATTATTAAAAAAATTTACTGAAGTAATGTGTGCACACACTTTAAATATCAAACATGCTAAACAGCTTATAACATATCTGTAGCCCCCTACACCACCCTTCTCCTAGACTGTATTTTCAAAACTGGAGTAATGATTTACACTTTATTTTTTCAAAGATTTTTTGCTATTGAGCACATGTACACACAGGAGAAAGGGAGACAGTGAGAAATAACCCCCCAGGGAAGATAGCCACATCACAGTCCCTTCCCCTTCATTCTCCTCTTGGAATTTTGGATGTGTTCGCACATGTGCCTGGCTTGAGTTTCAAGTTCCCAGGTATAGAACTCAAATCACCATTGAGGCATTGGACATGGAAGTCTAATGCCTTATAAGCCACCTACTGGCCCCAATTATTTGCAATTTAAAATCAGGCCAACCCTTGCCCTGGTACTTAAGTGAGCTGGATCCCACATGGCTGACCAGTTAGAGTCCTGAACCTGGTGGCCTGAGAAACACACCAAGTGTGTGTGTGTGTGTGTGTGTGTGTGTGTGTGCCCAAAATCCCAAAGAGAGGGAGAAATGGAGAAGGGATTGTGGCATGACCAAGCCACATAGAAGTGCTTTCTCAATTTCCTTGTCTCTCTCTACCAAGTATATGTGCCTCTCTCTCTTTCTCTCTCTCTGGTGAGCGTGCTTGCCCTTTAGCAAACTAGAAAAAAAATTAAATAATTATTTAGAAATAAATAAATACTATAATGTACTAGATTTAGATACTCAAGTTTTTCTCCTTGTTTTCATTGTTCTAGTGATGGTGATGAAAAATATGAGAAGACCGTAATTAAAAGTGGAGATCAAATATTTTACAAATTTATGAAGAGAATTGCTGCTTGTCAGGAGCAGATTTTGAGGTAAAGGAGGCATGTTTTCTTTTATTGTTTTTCTTGACTGTAGAAGTAATACGAGGGGGCCAGCAGGTGGCATGGTGGTTAAGGTGCTGGACTCCCAGATGGCCAACCAGTTTCAGTCCTGCACCTGGGGCTTGCTTTCTTACTTTCTCTCACTTTCTCTTTGGTGAGCACACCTGGCATACAGCAAATTAAAGAAATAATAATGAATAAAATTAAGTCTTTTAAAAAAAAGTAACACGTGTTTAAGAAAAACACACACACAAGAAAATGCAATGAAAAAACTAAAATCCACAGTATCTCCCAAACCAAGAGAGAATTGCTGCTACAATGTTAGTTTATTACCTTCACTTATTTACTTACTATGTAATTTTTGCCAGAGGGTATGTGCGATCACCAGATAGAGACAGAGAAAAAGGGAAGGAGAGAGAGAAAGTCAGAAAGCACCGTCTCATGGGTCATGGTCATGCCACAGTTCCTTCTTCTCCATCTCTCCTCTCAGGATTTTGGGCATGTGCACATACATGTCTGGCAAGTTTTTTGAATCACTGGGATCCAGGACTTGGACATGTCCTATGGTATGTGGGTCTTAACCACCACCCACTGACTGGTCTTTACTTTCACTTATTTCTTTATACATTTGGATTCATGTAGATATGTAGTTATTCTGTATTTTTTAAAAACATAATTGAGTTCATAAAATGTAACTTTTCTCTTTTACTCATTTACTGCTATTGAGGGTTATCTTGTATTATTAAAGTTTATTTATTTAGTTCTTCCCTGAGAAACAGAGAGAAAGAGAAACACACACCCATCCTTCATCTCCATCCTCAGTCAGCTAGAATCACAGGCAGGTGTATGTGCTCATCTTGGACAGGAAGACCTCGGAGCACAAACTAGGGACCCTCCCATGTGGTCTCAGTATTGCAGAGTATTGTGCTACCACTGCATCATTGATTGGCTATATCCTGTATTATTGACGTTCTTCCAGGGCCAGCCAGTGATGTAAAGGTTAAAGTCGCTGGATCCCTTATGGCCAACTGCTCAGTTTGAGTCTTGTACCTAATGGTTTGGAAAAAAAAACAAAAAACAAAAAAACACCAGGTGCATGTGTATCTATGCCCAAAATATTGGTAGGAGAAATATAAGAAGGGATTGCACGGTGGCCATCCCCATTTGGGCCTCTCTCTCTCTCCCTCTCCCTCTCCCTCTGTGTGTGTGTGTGTGTGTGTGTGTGTTTCCAGTGAGCACACATGCCTGCTAGCAATTTTTTTAAAACTTTATTTATTTTAATTTGACCAGAAAGTGACAGAGAGAGAAAGTGAGAAAGCAAGCTACCAGGTCCAGAACTTGAACCACAGTCAGCCTTGTGGGAGTCCAGCGCCCTTAACCACCACGCCACTTGCTTTCCCTATTAAGTTTTGTTTTCTTTTTTTATTTTAGAGATTTTTGATAAGGGCATGTATGCTTGCTGGAGAGACAGAGACAGAAAGTGAGACATCACCCCCCAAGGGGATAGTCATGCCACAATCACTTCTTCATTCACCTCTTGGGATTTCTTGTTTTTTCTTTGAGAGATTTTTGCTATAGGGCACGTGTGATCGCCAGAAAGAGAGAGAAAGAGAGACAGAAAGCGAGAAATCACCCCCTGGGGGGATGGCCACGCCGCAGTCCCTTCTCCATTCTCCTCTTGGGATCTTGGGCATGCATGCACGCACATCCGTCCAGCATGAGTGTAAGCCACCAGGTCTGGGACTCCAACCATGGTCAACTACGCGGGAGTCCAGTGACATAACCATTAGGCCAACTGCTGGTCCCAACCTCTAGGGATTTTTTAGCATGCACACCTAATGTGAGTTTTAAGCTGCCGGGTCCTGGACATGAACTGTGACCTGCCACGTGGGAGTCCAGCAGTGTAATCATTATGCCATCTGCTGGTCCCATAACAGAAATTTTCAATAGGTAGTACCTTCATAAGTCTCAAAAATGTGGAAATATATGCATATTCATGTATATATAAATATCAATTCAGTGAAGTAATTCCTTTCTCTTTTTTTTTTTGGAGAGGTTTTTGCTATAGGGCACGTACACTCTCCAGGAGACAGAGAGAGACAGAGAGACAGAAAGCGAGAAAGCACCCCCAAGGGGGGTTTGTCTCACCGCAATCCCTTCTTCTCCAATCTCCTCTCGGGATCTTGGGCATGCACACACACACACACACACACACACATGCTCGGCATTAGTTTAAGCCACCGGGTCCAGGACTTGAACTGTGGTCGGCTGCATGGGTGTCCAGCAACACAGTCATTACGCTAACTGCTGGTCCCAAGTAATTCCTTTCTAACCATTCCTAATAGATTCAGGTAACCACTGTTAGTTTCCTAACCCTCTGTCCTTCCAGAGTTTTTTTTTTTTTTGCACATGTGCAAACTAAAATGCTTACGTGTTACTTACTTCCCCTTTTTGTTTTGCACAAAAGGACACATTCTTTTTGTTTGTTTTAAAGGATTATTCATTAAACTTTATATACATATATATATTTTTTAATTTGCTATAGGGCACGTGCACTCATCAGAGACAGAGAGAGAGGGCAAGAGGGAAAGTGAGAAAGCAAGCCAGTAGGTATGGGATTCAGATCTTGTTGATCATGTGGGAGTTCAGTGCCCCAACTGTCACGCCACCTGCTGGCCACAAAAAGGGTATATTCTAAATAATATTGTCTATCCTTTTAATTCCACACTGTATATCTTTTCAGTGTGAACTTTAAAAAAAAAAAAAATGCAGACCAGCAGATGGTGTAATGGTTATGTCACTGTACTCCCAAGTTGTTGACCACGGTTTGAGTCCTAGACTCAGTGGCTTAAAACTCACGCTGGGCACATGTACAAGCATGCCCAAGATCCTGAGAGGTGAATGGAGGGTAGAAGGGATTGCGATGTGGCCATCCTTCCTGGGGGGTGGTTTCTCACTTTCTGTCTCTCTGACAAGCGCAAGTACCCTGCAGCAAAAAATCTCACTTTTAAAAAAAAGCAAGACAGACAAACCTTTATAGTTCTATAGTTTCTTATGTTTTTCCCTTTCTAAAAAACTACTAATTTGGGGGGCTGGCAGTGGTGTGGTGGTTAAGGGTGCTGGATTCCCACATGGCTGACTGCGGTTCAAGTCCTCAAGTCCCAGACCTGGCGGCTCCCCCCCTCCCACTCTCTCACTCTCTCACTCTCTCCCTCTCTGGTCAAATTGAAATAAATGAATGAATAAATAAATTAATTAAATAAAATAAAATAATTTTAAAAGTACTAATTTTAAAAATGTATTTATTTAACTTGCTATTTACCAGCAAGAAAGAGAAAGCACACTCTCAGGTCGGGGGCTGGAACCATGGTTGTTGACCATGTGGGAGTTCAGCACTTAACCACCACTCCACCTGCTGGCCCCATAGGTTTTCCCTTTGGATACATGGTTAATGTTGTTTCCAAACTTTTGCTGTTACAGATACTGCCAGTGAACAATCTTGCACCTGTATCATTTTGCATAGGTATAAGGGATATGTACAATGTATCTGTGGGATACATTCCCTGAAATGGTATATACTTAGGCCAAAGGGTATATGCAGTTATAATTTTTTTTTCCGGAGAGGTTTTGCTATAGGGCATGTGTGCTCACCAGAAAGACAGAGACAAAGAGACAGAAAGTGAGAAATCACCCCCCAGAGGGGGTGGCCATGCTGTAATCTCTTCTCCTCCATTCTGTTAGGATTCTGTTCAAATAATAGGTACATGAACCTACCAGCAACTCTGGACAGGACAAAAATCCTTAAAACTGGAAAACAAAGCCTAGAAGAAAATCAGCAATGTTTTAGTCAAAAGCCATAAAATGCTATTTCACTAGTTCAGTCTCATGTACTTTATCTATCTTCTGCTGTAGTCCAATCTTCCTGTTTAAATTCTGGGATATAATACTCAACTCCAGATGTTGAATCTCTTAATCTCTGTGATTAAGTTGGCCATTTTCTTGGTTTTTGAATTCTTATTTCCATGTGTCTGTATTGAATTTTCCTGGTATAGCACTCCCTTGAGAACTTCTTGGAGATCTGGTCTGGTGCTGGTAAATTCTTTCTCAAGTTTTGTTTATCTGAGAATATTCTTATCTTTTCTTCCCATATGAAGGATAATCTTGCTGGGTACAGGTATTCTTGGTTGGAATTGTTTTTCCCTTAAAACTTTGAGTATATTTTCTCATTCTTTCCTCACTCTCATTGTTTCTGATGAGAGGTCTGCTATTAGCCTGATGGGATACCCCCTTTGTAGGTAACTTGCCGTTTTCCTCTCGCCAATCTTAGTATCTTGTCTTTGTGGTTTTGGTCAATCTGGCTATAATATGTCTTGGAGAAGATCTTCTTGGGTTGATTCTACTTGGGGTCATTTGTATTTCTTGGGTCTGGATTTTTGAGTACCTCTTTAGGTTTGGAAAGTTTATTTGCAGGATTTCATGGAATAGATTATCAATGCCCTTATGAGTCTCTTTGCCTTCTGAGATATCAATTATCCGGATGTTTGAACGTTTGATGGTATCTAGTATTTCTCGTATATTATTCTCGTTTTTTTGGGTCATTTTCTTAGTCTTCGTGGTGGATTTTTCTAGGCCAGTGATTCTATCTTCTACATTTGAGATTCAATTTTCTGTATGATCTAGTCTGCTTTTAATACTTTCAAGGGAGATTTTGACTTCCTGTATTATAGCTTTCATCTCTAACAGGTTCATTTGATTCTTTTTCAGAGTGTGTATTTCTTCTTTTAGATCTTGCAAGAATTTCCTCACCTCCTGGAACTTTTCAGCTCCTTTCTCCTGCCTCTTCTGCAGTTGCCTCTTTCTCTTCTCTTCCATCTCTGTTAGTTTTGTCACTATGAATATTCTAAAATCCTTATCACATTTCCATGAGTTTCATTGTACTGTCTGAGGATGAAGAGGTGTTATTCTTTTCCTTGGAGGAGAGGTATTGTCTTGCTTTCCTATGTTTCTTGTGATCCCGCGGTGATCCTTCCTAGTCATCTAAAGGATGGTGCGTTTCTTCCTAATTCTTGAAGTTCAGTCTGAGCATTCAGAGGCGAGCAGGCGGAGGTGATCTGTGATCTTTCTACTGTTCTGACTCTTTGTGCATCACTTTCAAGGTGAAGCAAGGAATATTCTGACCCTAATCATATCCAGATGATTGGAAACTGTTCACTTGGCCCTGTCTAGACACTTAGTGTGTAGAGACTGATCAGAAAATGAATAAAGATAAAGAAAAAAGGAAAAGAATTAAGAGGAAAGAAGAAAAATAAATAAACTGAAAAAGGAAAAAGAGGATAAAAAAATAAGATTATAATTTTTTTTGAGAGGTTTTCGCTATAGGGCGTGTGCACTCTCCAGAAAGAGATAGAGAGACAAAAAGTGAGAAATCACACCCCTGGGGGGATGGCCATGCTGCAATCCCTTCTCCTCTTGGGATCTTAGGCATGCATGCACACGCGCCCAGCGTGAGTTTAAGCCACCAGGTCCGAAACTTGAACTGCAGTTGACTACATGGGAGTCCAGCGACATAGCCATTATGCTAACTACTGGTCCCCATGAGATTATAATTTTAGAAAGCGAAAATGAAAACTGCACGACAACCAGTGTTTCGCAGCTGAAGTATGGTATCCACCTCAGGATAGGCCTGGGTTGGGTTGTACCTTTTCTAAATGAAGTGAAGTAAGGCACCAATTAACACAATAAAGGAGAGGCTTGAGAGGCCAGAGAATACTTTACCTTAAAAAAAAAAAAAAGTCACAGGGAGACACAGCAGCGAGACAGAGAACAGACAGAAATGGAGAGAAAGAGACCCAGAGCTATCCCTACCCACTAGAAATGAGTCTGGAGGGGGAAGTCTCAGCAGAAAATCTTCATTTTTGGTCAAGGAAACCAGTAGTTGACAGCAGAAGTACAGTATCCATCTCAGGATCCAGTATACTCTTTTTTTTTAGATTTTGCTGTGGTGCACATGCTGTCACCAGAGAGGGACAAAGAGAAAAAGTAAGAAATCACCCCCCCCCCCAGGGGGGATGGCTGTGCCACAGTCCCTTCTCCTCCATTCTCTTCTTGGGATTTTGAGCATATTCACACACATGCCTGGCATGTTTTTCAAGCTACCAATTCCAGGACCCAAACTGCACAGTTGGCTATGTTAAATTCAGCTGCCCTAGCCACTGTGCCACCTGCTGGTCGGGAATCAGTACTTTATAGGTGAACTATATAGGTACTACAGGTACAGCAAGAAATGACACAGATAAAGTCCATAGTCTCACAGATTTTACATTCTAGTAAGAGATTAAAAATAGACATGTATGGGAGATTATACTTGAAGTAGTGGATGCACCAAATGTTCCATGGTTCCAGTGCTGGTTTTGACTGCCATTTTACCTTTTTTTTTTTTTAACGTGAGGGCTGGCTCTACCTAGTAGAATATGCTTTCAAGGCTATTAACCAGGGTGGCCTTACATCAGAAGCTGTCAGAGGGAAAGGCTGTGTGCAGTAATCGTCAGTCAGAAGTTCCTGACAAATTATTGGATTCCAGCAGAGTGACTCACTTATTCAGAATAACTGAAAACAGTGGCTGTGTGATGACAGGAATGACAGCTGATAGTTGATCCCAGGCACAGAGGGCACGCTATGAGGCAGCTCATTGGAAATACAGCTATGGCTGTGCGATTCCTGTGGACATGCTGTGTAAAAGAATTGCTGATATTCCTCAGGTCTACACGCAGAATGCTGAAATGAGTCCTCGTGGTGGTTGTATGATTTTAATTGGTATTGATGAAGAATAAGGCCCTCAGCTGTGCAAGCGTGATCCTGTAGGTTACTACTGTGGGTTTAAAGCCACTGCAACAAGAGTTAAACTGAGTCAACCAGCTTGCTTGCAAATAAAGTGAGGAAGGAATTTGACTGAACATTTGAATAGACGGTGGAAACTGCAACTCCATACCTGTCTGCTGTTCTATTATTTCAAACCTTCAGAAATAGAAGTTAGAGCAGTTACAGTTGAAAATCTTAAATTCAGAATTCTTACAGAAGCAGAGATTGGTGCTCACCTTGTTGCTTTAGCAGAGAGAGACTGAACATCGCCATTAGTTAACCAAATCCATGATGCCACTTGCCTGTGTGTTTGGTAACAACAGACCGACACATGGAGGCCCCTGGATTGTAAAAGGAACCTTTTCCACTCCTACTGCTGAAGCAGTTAGGATTCTGTATAGATAAAAACAGAGGGAAAAAAAAAGTACATGTATGAGGCTGGCAGGTGGCATCATGGTGAAGGCACTAGACTTCCAGAGGGCTGGCTATGGTTTGAGTCCCAGACCTTGTGGTTTGTTTTCTCACTTTCCCTTTCTTTCTGTCTCTCTTGCTGGTCAAAATGTAAAAATAATCATAATAAATACATAATACACATACATGATTTTAATAAAATTTTTATGAGTTTATCTGCCTACCTTTTTTTTTTTTTTTTTTTTTTTGAGAGGTTTTTTGCTATAGGGTGTGTGCACTCGCCAGAAAGACAGAGACAGAAAGCAAGAAATCACACCCTGGGGGGATGGCCACACCGCAATCCCTTCTCCATTCTCCTCTCGGGATCTTGGGCACGCACGCACATGTGCCCGGCATGAGTTACGCCGCCAGGTCCAGGGCTCGAACCACGGTCAACTACATGGGAGTCCAGCGACATAGCCATTACTCTAACTGCTGGTCCTTCTTCCTACCTTTATATATTTTAGTAAATATTTTCACTGTTCATGAGAAACTGTTAAAGAACAGTAGATACAGATATGAACACTTCCTAGAAGGACATGCCCTATCTTCTAGTAAGGCCAGTAGCATAGAGGCCTGAATCCATTTAATCTATAGTTGAACTGAGACTGAACTTTGTTGCGGTTTTGAATTCAGTCCAACATTGGCTTTGGTGTCTTCATTGAAACTGAACCCTTGACAAGACTTCAAACATCGATGATGCATTACAGCCTTGCTGTTAGTGTATTAGGCATCTGAGGGATTTGCATTGCTGCTTGTTCAGCTGCTGGTACTCTGCGAGAAAGAGAACGCCCGTAGAGCATAGCCTTAGATCTTAGAATGTGACTTCTATGTGGCGCTGATTCGGGGTTCTTTGTCTCTTCGCCTCAGGTATTCCTGGAGTGGAGAGCCTCTCTTTCTGACCTGCCCTCCATCAGAAGTCACTGAGCTTCCAGCCTGCAATCACTGTGGAGGCCACAGGACATTTGAGTTTCAGCTTATGCCAGCACTGGTTAGCATGCTCAGAAGTGCTAATTTAGGTAAGAAGTCCTATATTAATTTGCATTTGAAGAAAGTGTTTTTCAATAATTTTAAAATAAAGACTATGTTTATTTTTTGTTTACTTGTAAGATATAAACATATTACAGTAAATTTGGGAAATTAAAAATTATTTTTAAAAGTTTACAACAAAGCCAGTCTACCACAAGCATTAATGTACTTTTTGTCGATGTAAGATTGAACATTTTCCTGTCTTTAAAACTATTTTGATCAGGGAACCAGCAGTTAGCATAATGGCTATGTCGCTGGACTCCCACGTAGTCGACCGCGGTTCACGTCTCGGACCCGGTGGCTTAAATCTCACGCCGGGCGCGTGTGCGTGCATGCCCAAGATCCCGAGAGGAGAATGGAGGAGAAGGGATTGCGGCGTGACCATCCCCCCTGGGGGGTGATTTCTCGCTTTCTGTCTCTATGTCTCTCTCTGTCTGTCTGGTGAGCACACGCGCCCTACAGTGAAAATCTCTCAAAAAAAAAAAAAAACTATTTTGATCATAGTCAGCCAGTGGTGTGCTGGTTATGGCAATTGCATCTCACGTGGCTGACTACACAACTCAAGTCCTAAACCTGGGTTTGAGAAACACACTAGGTGTGTGTGTGTGTGAGTCCCAAAATTCTGAAAGGAGGAAGAGATGGAAGAGAAGGGACTGATGTGAGCATGCCGGAAGGGGTGAGGGGTGCTTTCTCACTTTCCCTCTCTTTCATTCTGTGTCTCTCCAGCAACTGCATGTGCCCTCTGGTAAATTACCAAACACAAATTTTATCACATTATTATATCATTTTTAAAAGAATTATGTTATTTAACTTTATTTATTATATTATTATTTTCCAGTTTGATCAAAGAGAGAGGAAAAGTGAAAAGCCAAGCCACCGGGTCCGGGAATTGAGCCATGGTTGACCATGTGGGAGTTCAGCACCTTTAGGCACCACATCACCTGCCAGCCCCTATTATATAATTTTTTATTTTAAAAAAAACCTTTTAGGGGAGCCAGCAGGTGTTGGTTAAGGGCACTAGACTCTCACATGGCCGACCATGGTTTAAGTCCCAGATCTGATGGCTTCCTTTCTCACTTTCCTTCTCTCTTATTCTGTCCCTTTCTAGTCAAATTTAAATAAATAAATAAATAAATAAATAAATAAATAAATAAATATCTGTCCCTCTCTGGTTAGATTAAAATAAATGAAGGAAGGAAGGATGGAAGGAAAGAAAGTAAGTTAATTAAATAAAATAATTCTTTAAAAAAAAATAAGTACGTGGGGCTGGCAGGTGGCGTGGAGGTAAAGGGCGCCGGACTCCCACATTGCCGACCATGGTTCAAGTTCCGGACCTGGCGGCATGCTTATGCTTTCTCACTCCCCTCCCTCTCTCCCTCCCTCCCTCCCTCTCTCTCTCTCTCTCTCTTTTCCTATCTGGTAAAATTAAAATAAGTAAATAAATAACTTTAAGAAGCTAAATAAAATAATTCTTTTTCTTTTGGAGAGGCTTTTTCGCTATAGGGTGCGGTGCGCTCACCGGAAAGACAGAGAGAGACAGAGAGATAGAAAGTGAGAAATCACCCCCCAGGGGGGATGGCCACGCCGCAATCCCTTCTCCTTCATTCTCCTCTTGGGATCTTGGGCATGCACGCACACGCGCCTGGCGTGAGTTTAAGCTGCCGGGTCCAGGACTTGAACCATGGTTGACTACATGGGAGTCCAGCGACATAGCCATTACGCTAACTGCTGGTCGCCAATAAAATAATTCTTTTTAAAAAACGGGGGGGAGATCCAGCAGGTGGCATGGTGGTTAAAGATGTTGTATTCCCATATGGCCGGCTGCTATCTCTCTCTGATTAAATTTAAGGATAGTCAACAAAATTAAATAAATAATTATTTAAAAAATACTAATACATCATAGAGAGGTGAAGTGATTTACTGAAGGTAAATCTACTGAAGGTAAATTTACTGAGGTGATGGAGATGGGAGTTGAACCCAGGCAGTCTTGTTCCAGAGTTTGTTCTGTATCCACCAAGTAAACTTGAGTTTTAAGTGAACGTTACAACTTTCTTTTTGTTGTTATCCTGAATTTTTTTTTTTTCAGGCCTTTCTGTAGAATTTGGAACAATTCTAGTTTATACATGTGAGAAGAGTTGCTGGCCTCAAAATCATCAGACTCCTTTGGAAGAATTTTGTATTGTACAAGAAGATCCAGATGAATTATTATTTAAGTAGAGGATTTCCTTTTATTTATATAATTAAAATGTAATGTCCAAATATGTATGCGTTTACCTTATTTTAATTCAAGTTATTAAACCTTATTTGTTTTATTTTGCTAGAGGGCACAGGTGTTTGCTGGAGAGAGACGTGGGTGGGTGTAGTGGGGGGGAGGTGGTCATACTGCAATCCCTTTTGGTCCTGCTCTCCTTTTGGGATTTTGTGCACACATGTGTATACTCCTAGCTTGTTTTTCATACTGTTGGATCCAGAACTCTAACCATACAGTCGGCCATGTGAGATCCAGCTGCCTTCATCAGCCATTGCTGGCTGGCTCTCAATCTTATTTTTAAGTGTTGAGACCTTATAAAAAGCTTCTTGGCACCCATGCTGGGCCTGGAGCCAGGGCCTCCTGAATATAGTGGTATCTTCCTGCTACAGTGCAGCTCGGAAAGTGGCTCCTCTGTAGCTCAGAGAGCTGGTGTTCCTTGCATGGGCATCCCAGGAACCCAGAGCAGCTGTCACTCCTTAGTTCCCCTCCTGCCTCTGCACCCTATTGCCATCCATGGGTGCTGCCAGATCAAACCACTAGATCTGCCCTCACTGCACAGGATCCAGCCCCGTGACACTGCCTGCTTAGACCTGCCCCAAATTCCCCTTGGTGAGGCTCCTGCCCTTACAGACTCTTAACCTTCTACTCGGCATCACAAAAGTGGGTCCTTCCTTTGATCTGGACATTGTCCCTTCATCCAGCCATCCATCTTTCCAGCCTCCCATTTCTTCATTTGCTTTTTATGCTACCAACCCCTTCTTTTCTGCTCCCCCTTGTCAGCAGTATGGAAACATTCCCGCCAGCCATGTTCAGACATGCTCTGCGTATGTAGATGAGGAAAATAAGGCCTAGATTCTCATGGGGTGGAGTTCTCCTGTGTGTGACTGGTGAGAACCCCACCTGATCCCATCCCCTGGGGCACCTGGGGGAAGTGACTTACATATTCAAACTGAATATGTTAATCAGCGAGGCTCCAGGAGTACTGGGTTTGCAGGGCTGAAGCTGAGGACAGCCTTTCAGAAAGAGGTTTTTTTGTTTGTTTGGTTTTTTGGGGGGAGAGGTTTTTGCTATAGGGCGCTAGCCGGAAAGACAGAGACAGAGACAGAAAGCGAGAAATCACCCCCCAGAGGGGGATTCCACAGCGCAATCCCTTCTCCATTTTCCTCTCGGGATCTTGGGCACACATGCACACGCGCCTGGCATGAGTTTAAGCCACTGGGTCCAGAACTCGAATCACGGTTGACTACATGGTAGTCCAGCAACATAGCCATTATACTAACTGCTGGTCTCCAGAGAGGTTTTGATTCCTCCTTTCTCTGTCTTGCTGGAGAAGTGACCACCAGTTTCCCTGTGGCACTTGTGCTGTGGGCAGAGAATGCTTGGGACTGTCAGACCACTTATTCCAATTGGAACAGAAAACAGGCTGCTCAGACTTATAGGTATATTAGTCCCCTTTATCTGCAGGGATATGTCCCAAGACCCCCAGGGGATGCCTGAAACCAAGTGTAGTACTAACCCCTATACATACTGTATTTTTCCTGTTAATATAACAAACTTTAAATTACAGACACAGTAACAACAGAACAATTATAACAATATAGTGTTAGTAGATGTATATGTACTGAAGTAAATGTGGTTTCTCTCAAAATACTGACTATAACTGGGAGTGGAAGACAAAACTGGATGAAGGAATTATAGTATGGTATTTTGGATTTAAATGGCCAAGAATTACCTTTAATTAATTAATTAATTAGATTTTTTTTTTCCCATAGGGTGCATGCACTCACAGAGAGACAGAGAAAGACAGAGATGGGAAATGAGAAATTACCATCCCCAGGGGGCATGGCCACACCACAGTCCCATCCCCTCCATTCTCCTCTTGGGCTTTTGGGCACGTATGCACAGGCGCCTGTATGTGTGTGAGTTTAAGCTACCAGGTCTGGGACTCGAACCTTAGTTGACTATGTGGGAATCCAGCAATGTAACTGTTATGCCATCTGCTGGTCCCAGGATTACCCTTTTTTTTTAATTTATTTATTCTATATATATGATCGGTTATTTAATTAGTTTCTTGGCAAAAAATTTAGAACACCAACTTGTGAGGATAAACTCCATTTGTAAGGGCAAACATGGATGGCAGGTAGCCCTGGAGCTGAGGAACAGCTTTGATTTTTGCTAAAATTTGTGAGTCCACTGCTTTCTGATCAATCTTGCGCTGCTCTGAAATCCCGTATTTCTCCTCCTCTGTGTCGAAGATCTCACCTTCCTGGTGTCTGGGCTTCCGCAGTTTCTTTTTCTTGAAGTAAGCACCGGTAAGGTGCTTTGGGATTTTTACTTTGCTATTAATTTTCGTGGAGGTGGCAATGACAAATTCCTGGTGTGTTCTACGCAGTGGAACTCGATTGAGAACCAGTGGTCCAGTTACAAGTAGCAAGCCACTGCTCAGCTGCTTCAGGAAAACTACTCTCTTGCCTCTGTGGGTCCAGTGAGGATGATCAGAATGGTCCCAGGAGTGATGCTGGCT